CTTTGGGTCCACCTTGTAAATTCTGAACGCTGTATTGACGTTCGAGCCAGGCGTGATGGATGGCCCCATGAATGAGACCGCCTTGACGTCGCGCGTGGATCTCTGTGGACCTGGGACAGAGGCGGAGGGGGATTTCGAGTCGTAGAATAGGTTGAACTGATCCTCGTGGGTGTGACCCAGAAAGATGTGCGCAAGCGTGCGAGGAGAGAAGCGCGTCACGATTTCGTAGAACAACGACGTTGGATTGGGCAATGGATTGGTACCATCCCATCCTGTGACGTAGCAGTGAACGCGAATCAGCGGATTCGCTCGGTCGATCTCGCCTCGTGAGAAAATCGACTCACCGCTAAGAACGTGACCGACGATCCAGACCCTCTCTTCGCGCTCTTCCGCCGCGAATAGCTCGTCAGTGACCCATCGCAGGGTGCCCGAAACATCGGGGTCGGTAGTGTTGATAAAGTTGTAGATGTTGCTAGCCAAACCAAGCCAGGCTCAAATAAGCGTCTGCTGCTCTACACAACGCGGTGCTAAACTCACCCCTTGTACCAAAAGTCGGTGTTCAGGGTGATGATGCGCAGACCCTTTCTTGGGCTTACACTGTAGCCTCCGTAGTGCCGGCCCACCTGTTTTGCCTCCTTGTGCGTGAACCAGCCTTGCGCTTCAAACAGTCTAGCGAGATTGTTCCAATCGTAAGAGAACTGTCCTCGCGTGTCGCCAGGAATGGAGTCGGGAGAAGCAAAGTCGCTGGGTGCAGTGTCGTGATTGCCCACAGCGGAAAAGACCGGACCTTTGCCCAAGAAGCGCCTCATGCTGTCAAAGACGGCTTGCTCGGTATACCTCACGAGGTCTCTCGACAGGTGCCACGTCGAGTCGTGCGTAGTAATGTCTCCTGTATTGACGGTAAAATCTACTTCTCGACCGCCGTTCAGATGCTTGACAGCTTGCATAGCAGAGAGCGCCAACGGCCAAGGCGAATCGCACTTGTAATTGCCCCAATACGTCGCGGCTTCGACCAATGTTGCAGGCATCGAACCTGCTGGCAAAGGTGGACCGGACGAGACGCTAGCATTGAAGCTGTCAGAGCGGCAGCACTGACCTGAAGTGCAGGCACCCTCCCCTCCGATGAAGAAGCGGGGATCGACGTGAAAGTCTGACAGGTGGAGAAGCCGCAGCAGACCGTCTTGATGCGTGTCGGGGACATCATCGCCCCTTTTGGACAAGGAGGGTCCGGTGGCTATGGATGCCGTTTGCTCGCCTTGTCTCTTGGTCAGCGCGGCCAGGCGCTGCTTGCCTCCAAACCACCCATCCAAGAAGCTTGTGAGCGCATACATGCGTTGCGAAAAAGTCAGCAAATGCCAGCAGCCTCTGCTTGGACTCGACAACGCACCTTTCGTCGAACGTGCGTGGCTTTGGCTTGGGGCAAGCCGAGCCTTTGACCACGTAGCTGCAAAGGTACTGCCCGTCCGTAGATCCCGCGCTAGTAAAGTCAGCATAGCTGAGTACTTGCGCATAGCTGCCTCCTAGATTGGCAGCCGTATATGTGCGTCTGCAAGACTCTTGCTGCGATAGACCAGATGAAGTGCTGCTGACGTTGAACTTGGTGCACAGCTCCTGAAGAGCTCGGAGCACCAGCTTGGGCGCACTGCGAGCAAGAGTCTGTCCTATGCGAAGGCCCTGCACGCAGCGCTCGCATCGATCTGACTGCG